AATGAAAATATAAAATGGAGCTCAAACTCAGGAGAATGAAATTAAAACCACAGTGAGAAACCACTTACACACCCACCAGAATAGCTAAAGTTGAAAAAAGCTGTCAACACCAAGCCCTGGAGAGGACATGAAGCAGCTGGAACTCTCATACAACACTGGTGGAAGTAAATAATTTGGAGTGTAGTAAAAAAAAAAAAAAAAAAAAATGTATTAGTATATTTAACTTTCTGTCATTTTTTAAGGCATAAGCTAGGTGCTAACAAAATGAAAAGGTCTTCCTTTACAAACCCTTTCCCAAATCTCAGGTAGCATTACTAAGCTGCAGAGACACACTGCTTTGCTCAGCTGAGCTGAAGTCCAACATGGCTCTCTTGGCTGGCTGTTGGTGAATTGGTTCAACCACTTAGGGAAGCTGAACATAAGCACACCCTCTTACCAGTCTATTCTCATAGAAATACCCAAGAGAAATGAGATCATTTGTCCTGCAAGACAGGTATAAGAACATACATAGCAGCATGATTTCCAATGGCCCCAGACTAAAAATAGCCCAAATGTCTGTCACTGGTAGAATGGACAAATAAGTTGTAGTATATTTAAAATATGGAGTATGACGCAGCCATGAAAATGAACTACTGCTACATGCAAGAACAAGGATGAATTTCATAAATGCTGAGTGTTCAAAATCAGAAGCAACAGATTACCAACTATACAATTCCATATATTCCAAAAGTTTGGTACTGACACAGGTTGGGCAAAACTAACCTATGGTATTAAAAGTCAGATATTGATCACCTTTGGGCAGAACAGTAGTGGGAAAAAAAAAAAAAGCACAGGAGTGGGGCTTCTGGGATGCTCTTAATATTCTATTTATGACCTAGAAGGCAGTTTCATTTTGGGAAAATTAACCTAACTACACAGTTATGATTTGTGTGCTTTTCTACGTTAACTTTATACCGCAATAAAATTTTATTAACTGGAAAAAAAAAAACTTGGGTAAATATTATTGCAGGCATGTGGAGAGATGAGCACTCTGCATTGTGGATGGAAGTATAAGTTGTAAGCATCTTTGAAAGGCAATTTGGTCATATCTGTACACAGTGAAATGCCATATTTATCTTTTGAAACAGCAATTCTACCTCTAGTATTTTTACAGTTACGCTTCCACATGTGTACAAAGATACATGTACAAGGATATTTATTGCAGCATTACTTTTAAGCCTAAAGGTCAGGGGTTGAATTACGGGGCATCTAAATAATAGCATTTCAGCATTAGAAACAAACAAATGTCAACCCAATCTGGCCCATGTCCTCACGCCTCATTCTAGATTTACATATGCTGGAATGTCCCTTGAAGACACATAAAGAACTGGCAGGGGTGGTCACCTCTGTGACCTGGCAACACGAGACAGGACCACAAGGGTGGGAGAATTACCCTATTGTACCTTTTGAATTTTGTACCATGTCAGGATGTAAACTCAATCCAAACAAACGTGGTCTTGGCCTCACGATGGCATCCAGGAATGATAGCACCATAGCACACCACAGAAGGGCAGGGTTTCAGAGGTCATCAGGCCCACTTCCTCACCATGCAGATGAGGATACTAAGATATCCATGGTCCACATTCCTTCAGAATGGAAAATACATGATCTGGGAGGCAACGTCACCCTTCTGCCTGTGTGCAGATGAAGTTGTCAGATAGCAGCTAAGGCCCCAGGAAATGTGTACAGGAAAAGCAGGTTTTCTGGGGGAGGGTGCAGGTGACAAGGTAGGGAGGGAAGACAATCACCAAGGATCCTGCATGGCATCCTGGGCAGACCGGAGGCAGGGGACACAGGAGGAAACTACTGACAACATTCTCCTGCTTTAAAGTAGTCTTGAAATATCAATAGAGGAGCTGATTCCACGCCCAGTCACTTCTTTTAACCGAATCTTAGTTTCCACAGCCATTCATTCATTCAACCAACCACTCAATCATCAATCTTTTCGCATGCCTACTAGGCACAATGCTCTGGGCTAGGCATGAGGAATATGACCATAAGCACAGTCCTTGCAATGCTTATGAGTTTAGCTCATACTGGCCCAGGTCACAGATAAACTGTGATGGTCTATTGAGATGACTCCTGACGAAGCTTTTTTTTTTTTAATGTTCTGTTGTAGTTTAATGAAATGTGAATGCAGCATTAAAGCATATTTTCATCCTTTGTGCTCATTTGAGATCTTTTTAATCATCTCCCCAAATTCATTGTTCTATCAGTGAAGTACAATAAACTGCACCTATTTAAAGTATACAAATGAATCAGTTTTGACAGACACCTACAAACCCATCACCACAATCAAGATAGCCAATGTTTCGTTGTCCCGAAAGTGTCCTCCCTTGTGCCCTTTATAATCACTCTCTTCTTCCATCCCTATCCCCAGGCAACAACCATGGTTCTAGAGAAAGTCCTTTTGGAAATAAGCAAGACTATTATTACTTTGCTATGTTCTCAGGCCAGTCCTGTTAGGGCAGGGGTGAAGGAGGACAAAGAAATACCAGGAAATGAGGGTAAGTGTGCAGATAACATAGGCCAATAGAATTATGAGAATTGAAGGGCAAAGCAGCTGCAGCAACATATTGGTATTTAACCCTCACAGCAAACTTAAGGGAAAGGTATCATCATCCCCCTTTTATGAATGAGGACACGTGCCTCAGCGTAGTTGAGGAGCCTGTCCAAGGTCAATCCGGCAGTAAGTGGCAAAGCTGGAGCTCAGTGGCCTGGGTGCAAAGCCTGCACGGCTCACTAAGTGCTTTCCCTCTAGGCCCCGCAGCCACTGCCAGGATTGGCTGAACTCACTGAGGGTCCCACCTGGGCCCCACGGGTGGCCTGCCCTCTGTGCACTGAGCCCCACTCTGTGCCCTGCCCTCTGTGCACTGAGCCCCACTCTGTGCCCTATGGATTTCTTTTTTTTTTTTTTAAGATTTATTATTTATTTTATTTTTGGGTGCGTCGGGCCTTAGTTGTGGCACACGGGATCTTCATTGAGGCATGTGGGATCTTTCATTGTGCACTGGCTTCTCTCTAGTTACGGCGTGCGGGCTTCTCTCTAGTTGTGGCGCATGGGTTTTTTCTCTCTCTAGTTGTAGCGCTCAGGATCCAGGGCACGTGGGCTCCGTAGTTTGTGGCACGCAGGCTTAGCTGCCCTGTGGCATGTGGGATCTTAGTTCCCGGACCAGGGATCGAACACCCGTCCCCTGTATTGGAAGGCGGATTCCTTACCACTGGACCACCAGGGAAGTCCCTGTGTCTTATGGGTTTCTTAGTGCTCCTCCCATTGTCAACAAGGGAGCCTGCAGGGCCCAGGGGCCGAAAACACTGACTTCCCAGCCAACCTGTGGGCCAGCCTGATCTGAGGCTGTGACCAGGAAGCCCCACCCTCTGCAAGGGCACCTCCCAGGGAAATCCCCAAGCTTCAACACTTTGCAAGAGAGTCTTGTCAGGGACATTTTTTTTTTTTGGCTGCGTTGGGTCTTCATTGCTGCACACGGGCTTTTCTAGTTGTGGTGAGCAGGGACTACTCTTTGCTGCAGTGTACAGACTTCTCACTGTGGTGGCTTCTCTTGTGCAGCACCGGCTCTAGGCGTGTGGGCTTCAGTAGTTGCATCTCACAGGCTCTAGAGTGCAGGCTCAGTAGCTGTGGCTTGTGGGCTCTAGAGCACAGGCTCAGTAGTTGTGGCGCATGGGCTTAGTTGCTCTGCAGCATGTGGGATCTTCCCGGACCAGGGCTCGAACCCGTGTCCCCTGCATTGGCAGGCGGATTCTCAACCACTGCACCACCAGGGAAGTCCCATTGTTGGGGACATTTTAATGCCACTTCAAATCAATGCAGCAACACGCACACACACTAAACTTTTTGCTTTTGAAAAACTACAAAGTAATGTACAAATGCTCTATTCTCTCCCTGACCCCTACTGGATCATCTGAAATCTGAGGGTTAAGCAGGGGTTGAGGGACGTTGAGGAAGTCAGGGATGGGGGTGGGGATCGAGGTACAGGGAGAAGGACAGATGAGGTGGGGGAGAGGCAACTGAGGGAGGCCTGTGGGACATATTACTTGGTGACAAAAAATAACCAGCGACTTTACATTTGGACACAGCCACTTGGATGCATCCACACCTACACGGCTCTACCTAGGTGGCTGAGACAACATTCAAGCCCTCTCTGTGCTTCAGCTTCCACGGGAAGCGTGAGGTAGGGGCTGCAGGAAGCATCTGGGAACGACACACGTTTAAGGATGGGAGGCTTCCTGGAGGAAGAGCCCGCGCTGCAGAAACTCACTGATCTCACTTCCTCCCAGGAGCTGGGGGACGAAGGCTGGGGTGTGCATCCCACCTGATGGGACATGTCCAAACTCTAGAGTGACTGGCATCAGAGCCACCAGACGTCCCAGGGGATGGACACTGCGGGGTGGGCAAACCAATCCCTGACTTGGTTTCTGCCTCTGCACACAGGGCATGACCCAGCCCCTAGAGTCTCAGTGAGGAGGGCACGGGACTAAGTGTAAAGGGTGTCCAGCCCAGTGCCTGGCACACAGAAGGAGCTCATTCAGTGGCAGGGCCCTGCTGTCCCACCACCATCCTGTCAGCACCCCCCCCCGAAACAGAGGCTCTCAGATTGAAGAAAGCTTCTGGGTGCTGTGGGAAATTGGCATTGGCTTCAAAATGCCCTTCCTGGCCCCTGACTCACAGTTTTGGTTTCAGAATGAATACTTTGCGAGAAAGACACTTCCTTTATGCTGTGTATAGATACCTCGATTACAGCCGTGTGGACACAGGCTGGCCCCTAGTTCTGCCTTTGGATTCCTTGTTACTCTGTCATTTGAACTGGGGAGAAGGTGGCTGTGGAGGCAGAGGGATGTCCTAACGGGACCCACTGTTGGTCTGTGTGTCTCCTGCCCCCGCTCCGCCCCTTCTTCACTCTACCCCCACTCCGGCTCAGCATGATCTGACCCAAGTCCACCAAGTCTCCTTCTCCCAAAACAAAGAGAACCAGGGTTTCTCCCAAGTCCGCTGGCTCCCCGTGGCTCCTGGGCCATCAGCAGACCTCACCAAGAGCTGACCACATACACCAGGGCCTTGGGGGGAGGGGGGAAAGGAACATTCCAAGCAAAAGAAGAGGGTGAGGGTAGGCGAGGCTGCTTGGAGGAGGCAAATCCCAGATATGTCTTGGAAACCGAGTTTCGCCAAACTTTGGTGAAAACAAGAAGGCAGGTGATACTTCACCTGCGGATCTTTGGTTTTTATTTAGTAATATGTACTGGGCACCCACCAAGTGCCCAGCACAGTGGGCAATGGAGATGTGGAAATGAACAGAACATGGTCCTTGCTCTCCAGAGGCTCATGGGAAAGCAACACGAACAACGCTGTGACAATGCTGTGACAGTAGTTGCCAAATAGGGCTGGGAGAGGCCGTGGAGGGCAGGGCCGTGAGAGTCTTGAAGGTGGTGTAGCCATCAGGCACAGGCTCCAGAGCTGGCTGTGTGGCTTTGCACCCAGGTTCTCCCAGTTACTAGTTCTATGAGCTCGGGCAATTTACTAACCTCCCTCTGCCTCTGTTTCCTCATTCTGGAAATGGTACTTATTTCACGAAGTTGTTGAAAAGATTAAATGAATTAATCCATGTAAAGCATGTTTAGAACAGTGTCGGATATTAGGTTCTGTAAATGTATTTATTAATATGACTGTCTTGATGGAAAAGCAGGCATTCTGCAGAAGAGGAAGGGCACAAGTAGGTGTCCCAGGAAGCGGGCCCCGCAGGAACAGAGGCAGGGACGTGGAAGCATGGGCTGGGGTGTGGCACGGCTGCTACCCAGGAGCATGTGCTGAAAGGAAGCCAGGAAGGTGGGCAAAGGCCAGAAGCTGCCGGGCCATGCACACCTTCGAGGGTGGACTTGGTCTTGGAGCTGACAGAGAGTGACTGGGGGTTGTACCATGAGGCTGCTAGACTGGAAGAAGTGAGACTGGAGGTAAGGGACCCAGCCAGCAGCCTAGTGGGAGAGAAAGGAGAGATGTAAAGAGGTCCAAAACCAACGCGGTGACAGCAGGAACGGAGAGGAAGTGAGTCACTGCGGCCTGGAGGTGACTGGATGCAGGAGGGACAGGCCAAGTCTGGGATGCTTCAGGTAACCCGAAGCCATCCATCAGGACGAGGAAGCCATCCATCAGGACGAGGGAGACAGCCCTTGAGGGGGTGGGGCGTAAAGAGGAGGAATAACAGAATAAGAGGTGCCGGGCACTGAACCAGGAGCTGTAGATGAATTACTTCATTTACTCCTCACATGGACCCTTCGAGAAGGTGCTGTTATCATCCCCATTTACAGCTGAGAAAACTGAGGCAAGGAGTGATTGAAAACTTGTATCAGAGCCACATGGTGTGGTTTTCAGGGCCTGCATTCTTAGCCCCTCTGCTCCATGTTGACCTTTGAGACACTGGCTGTGTGTCCACTGCTTAGCAGGGGGGCCTGGGCTGGAAGCTAGGGGTCATCAGAGCCATGGGGGGATGAGATGGCCCAGAGTGAAAGAGAATGAGGGAGGAGAGGGGCAAGGGCTGAATGTGGAGAGAGGGGCTCTGATGTGCGGGGGGCAGGGGGGGTTCCTGGGGGAAGTGGTCCAGCCGGGAAGCTCCCCAGGAGAAGCCAGCAGGCATCCTCCTCCCCCTTCTCTCCAGCCCGCAGGGAGGGAATCCAGCCCTAGGACTGGGCCTCTTGCCCTGCCGTCCTCCCCACAGCCCGCAGAGAACACAGGAGGGCCTGGCCCTCTCCCGGTGCCTGGAATGGGTTTCGTAACCGCCCTGAGTCTGGTGTTGCCAGGATAGCACTACCTTCCTCCCACAGAGGCTTCGGTAGGGGAGAGCTGAAAGGATCAGGCTGAGCTTTTGGAGACAAAACTAAGTCCTCCAAGTGGAAGTTCGCCAGCCCTCTCTGGGCTATTGCAAGGCCCACACGCGGACAGGGCTACGGCTCTGTTGACAAAAGCATCTCAAGATGTTTACCTCAACCCTAACGGCTGCTGGCCCAGGTCCCGTCTGGGTGTGTCATGGGCTCAGATGAGGCCACACACACACACACACACACACACACACACACACACACACCCTACTCCCTGCCCAGGAGCCTGCTCCCTGAGTCACCTCGTTCCCAGCCAAGTTCACCTGAAGCACCTGGCATTTCTCTCCACAGCACAACAGGTTATCTACCTAAGAGCTGTCAGTGAAGAAGAGCCCCGCCTGGTTCAATAATTCATATAACGAGCTTCTTAAATTACCAAGGGGTGCTCCAAGTTCTGAGATTTCTGCAGCATTTCACCTTGAGGAAAAGGAGAGGATAAGAAAGGAGGGAGAACTACCTCACACCTGTCAGAATGGCTGTCATCAGAAAGACAACAAATAATGAGTGTTGGTGAGGGTGTGGAGAAGAGGGAACCCTGCACACTGTCAGTGGGAATGTAAACTGGTGCAGCCACTATGGAGAACAGTATGGAGGTTCCCCAAAAAATTAATAATAGAACAACCATATGACCCAGGAATTTCACTTCTGGGTATTTACCCAGAGAAAACAAATACACTAATTCAAAAAGATACACGCATCCCAATGTTCACCGCAGCCTTATTTACAATAGTCAAGATATGGAAGCAACCTAAGTGTCCAATGATAGATGAATGGATAAAGAAGATGTGATATATCTACATAATGCAGTATTACTCAGTCACACGCACAAGACTGAAATTTTGCCATTTGCAACAACATGGATGGATCTAGAGGGTATTATGCTCAGGGAAGTAAGTCAGACAGAGAAAGACAAATACCACATTTCACTTATGTATGGAATCTGAAAAACAAAACAAAATGAAACCAGACTCATAGATACAGAGAACAAACGGGTGGTTCGGGGGCAGGGGTGGGGAGGCTGTGAAATAGGTAAAGGGAATTCAGAGGTACAAACCTCCAGTTATAAAATAAATAAGCCACAGGAATATGACATACAGCATAAGGACTACGGTAAATAATAGTATAATAATTTTGTACGGGGACAGATGGTTCCTAGACCTATAGTGGTGATCATTTCATAATGTATGCAGATGTCAAATCAGTATGAAGTACACCTGAAACTAGCGCAACACTGAGCACCAACTATACTTCAATTCTTTTAAAAAGTGAGAAAAAAGGAGGAAGAGTGAGTCAAAAGTGGGAGAAATTGCCCCCCCCCCACTGCCACCCTTCCCCCACTACTTCTACTCACACACAGCGCCGATGTTTGGTCCCCAAAGTGGTGACAGAAAAGAGAGAGAAAAAACACAGAGAAGTGGGTATCATAGAACATAAACTGTGTGTCTTCAAAGGGACCTGACGGATCATTCATTTCTTCCACCCTCTCGTTGTACAGATGAGGAAACTGTTTGTCCCATGACGAGCTAGGGACAGAATCCAGGGCCTTCAGTATCCACTCAGCGTTCTTGTCCCTACAGCACAAAGGATCCAGACAAGAAGAACTGGAAGAGGCTACGATGCCTCTAAGCCTAACCCTACCTCTGCTCCTGGAGGTGCCCCAGAGCCACGGCCATCCTCCTCTGCGCTCTACGGGCCACACAGCACTGCCTGTGCCCTTGTTTCCCTCGTCTCCAAATTTTAGGGGTCACTGTCAGCCCCACATATCACCAACAGCCGCCAACCATCACAGAGAACTGGAAATATCCGGACTGGCCCAGGCTGCTGGATCACCGATGCTGCTGCAATGTCTAGACAGAGCGCGCACCTTCCTGTCCCCCGACAAGCACCTGGACGGCCCATGAGTGTCCCGGGAGCACCTGCTTGGTGACCAGCGTGGCAGACCAAGAAATCACACATTTGGGCAGCGACTTTCTCCAAGTTCTTCTTTCTGCCAAGCACACAAATGAACAGCCCAAAGAGGGCAGGGAGAAATAAAGCCCAGAGTTCTCATGCTCCTGATTGAAAACATAAAAATAAAATAAATATGCCCACTGTGCAAATAACAAATAGACCATCCCTTACTCTCCGGACAAATATTGATATTTCCTTTAAGTTTTCGGCTCAAGTAGCCACAACTTGGGAAGGGAGAGACTTGTGGTTATTGGCCAGAAGCTGCTCTAAGTCATATACGGCCGTCAAAATTATGACTTTCAAACAAAAGTTACAAATTTAGAATGACTTCCTGAGGCCAAGTTATTTTGACGTTTCATAAAATAAATCATCGGACAAACATGTCACCATATAATGTTGATGATAGTGCCCAAAAGGGTTTTACTAACTTTAGTATTTCGTTATTATTGTATTTTAATTGATTCATAACTATATAATTTATATATAATTTACAATTAAGCAAATAATATTTCATTATTTATATGTCTTTATATTTAGGATTTTCAAACAGCCAGTATAAACAGACAAGAATGGACCACGCATATGGCAGGTAATACATAAAGTACACTTTCCAGAATTCTCCTTAACTGAGTGTTAACTGGATTCATCTCCCAAGAAGCTTGGTCTGAATTGGGTACACCAAGCAAAATAAAAGATAATATAGCACAGGTCCGACAGCTTTCAAGTTGCCATTTCAATAACTCAGATGGTATCTTTCTTCAGTCATGGCCAGCAGCTCAGCCTAATGCCATAATTGATTTCTGTCCAGAATCGAATGCCAACGGCCCTGTTTTTAACACTCTTGACCTGACCTCCCCCGCCAAGGTGTGGCAATGGAGGTCTAAAGTGGAAATGGTCTAAAGTGGAAGGCTGTGGCTGCAGCCTTCCTGCACCTCTTGTGAAACGTTGGACAGAGAAGCCCCCGTTTACAATTCATTGCACAAAAACTGACATTCGTTTTAGGCGCAATGCTTAGTCAGCGGGCTTGGGTGAGCTGAGGTAGGGAGTGGCTATTTCCAAAATGGACATGGCAGCACCAGATAGGACTGCCAGTAGAGATGATAAAGGCAAGGAGAGACTGGATCCCAACATGCTAAGCAGCTCTTAAATGGCTTGGGGACAAGATGTCTTCATTTGTAGAGCTGCGTATGAATGGAGGTTCTGAGCTAAAAAGCATACCTGATGTAAGGTGACCCCAGAAACCATCAGAGTTACACAGAGAGGCAGCACAGCATGACGCTTAGGCCAAACTCTGGAAAGGATAGAATTTGAATCTCAGCTCCATCCCCTACTAAATGTGCCACCCTGGGCATTTAATTTATCTCTCCTTTTCTGTAAAAAATAAGCATAATAATGGTACCTACCACACAGGGTTGTTTTAAGGATAGTATAAATGTATGTGCATAAAGAACCTATATAGTCCCTAGCACATAGTAATCACTCAATAAACATTAGCTATTACACGGTCAAATCTATCAATCTTTCACTAGAATGTAAGTTCCAGAAGGGCAAGAGTTCTCATATGAATTGTTCACTGCTGTATTCCCAGTACCTAGAACAGGGCAATAAATGGTAGGCAATAAATCAACATTGAATGAATCTAAAGGCATATTAAGAAGCCCAACTGGATTTACTGCACCTACAGTTTTAGAACCAATGAGAATTTTTAAATAGGCTTTAGCTCAAATTACTGTGTGTCATTTAGAGTATTGGGCTAAGTTTGGGACAGCTCATTGTAGGAAGTAGAAAGGCGAGATCCACTGAGTTCAAAGGAGAGTGGTTAGTCTTTTTGAGGCCTTAAAATCCAGTTGAGCTTCTGTTTCTTGCCAAGACAGAGTAATAAGAACTAGATTTACCCTCCCATCTTCAACAACAGAAAAACTGTGGAACAGCAACAGTTTTTAGACACTGGGTATCAGACAATGCAGGACAGGGATCCCTGGGAGATGGGAAACAAATAAAGTGGACCCCATTATTGCCTCAGCTTACTGCCTGGAGAGCATTTTCAGGCCACAGTGTGGGGTGGGGAACCTGGGCAGAGTCTGGCAGTCTTTCTGAGAATCTGAGGAGACAGAGCTAGCTGCAGCAAGTCTGGGAAGCCCAACGCAGCTAGAGTTCACAGGGCAGAGGACAGAGCTACGTGGGGGCTGGGGAGAGGTCCAAAGATCTGCAGAGGGTCCCCCTTGAGTCTTCAGATGGGAACAAATCAATGTATTCATACTGAGGCTAGTGAAAGGACCACTCAAAAAATAGAGGAAAAAGACCACTTGAGCTTACACAGGGCTAAGAGTACTTTGTATTCCCATCAGCCAGAATAGAAAACCTCATAATTTTTATCAGGTAGAGGACTCAGAAGGGTATTGGCTCGGTAATGGGGAGAAGGTTAGCCCTAGACTAAAGGTTATGATGTTTCCACCTAACTCAAAGCAAGCCTCAATGGTATCGAACTGTTTCCAAATAATTTAAACACATCCCAGAACAAAATTCAAGAATACTGGTGGGAATACAAGAATATCCAGCACCCAAAAAGTAAAATTCATAATATCTAGCATCCAATAAAAAAATTACCAGGCATGCAAAGAAACAGGAAAGTATGACACATAAGGGGGGGGGGAAATATCAATATGAAAATAACACAAATGATAAAATTAGTAGACAAAAACATTAAAATAGTTAGTATAACTATATTTCATATGTCCAAGAAGGTAGAGGATAGATTGAATATGGTAAGTAGAGACATGGAAATGTAAAAAAAAAAGAACCCAAGTCTAATTCTAAAAATGAAAACTTCAATGTCTGAAATAAAATAAACACTAGATAGAATTAACAAAAAAACTAGACATTGCCAAAAAAAGATTTGTGAACTTAAAGACAGAGCAATAGAAAGTATCCACAATGAAACAAAAAAAGACTGGGGAAAAACAGAAAAATAGAGACTCAGTAAACTGAGTGAATAAAATACATTCATCTGGAGAGGTAGAGGGAGGCAGAAATACTATTTGAAAAAACAATGGCCAGAGCTTTCCCAAAATGATGCAAACCATAAGTCCAGAGATACAGGCATCATTTCCCAAAATGATGCAAATCATAAGTCCAGAGATACAGGCATCATTTCCCAAAGTGATGCAAACCTAAGTCCAGAGATACAGGCAGCTCAACAAACCCCAAGCTAAAGAAAAATGAAGGACACTATGCCAAGAATATCATAATTAAATTACTTAAAACCAGTAATAAAGAGACAATCTTAAAATCAGGCAGACAAAAAAAAAAGATACACTATATAAAGAGTAACAAAGATAAAAATTACACAGAATTTTCATCGGAAACAATGGGAGCTTGAAATCAGCGGACTAAAATCTTTACAACACTGAAGGAAAAAACCTGTCAACCTAGTAATCTAGAAACTCTTTTAAAAACAAATACAGTTCTTTCAGCCTGTTCGGCACAGGAGTTTTGGACGGTCCCGGGCCAGTGGCCGCCTGGCCTCCGAAGGCTGGGGCGCAGGGCAGGAGCGTGCGGCTGCCCTGAGTCTAGTGAGGCTGGCGCCGCGGCCAGGCCAGGTCCGAGGCTCCCGGTCTCTGAACGCGTGGAGGGCAGCGGCCTGGTCTGGCCTCCGCCACATTGTCGGTTTTAATTTTCGTTCAGGTGAAAGATGGACGCTTGAAGCATAGACTGCTGCTAGCTGACTACTTACTATCTAGGAGCACAAAAATGACCTAAGGATGTCCTCGGTGAGGAACTTGACAACTTGATCTTCGGGAGTTGCTTAGAGTATTTAAAATTTCCAGGATTGCTAAAAAAAATACTGCTTTTGGATAGTCCATAAATGTACATCTAAAACAGTGGGGCTATAAATAAAATAATTTAATGTGTTTAAAAAAAAACCACACAAATACAAAAAAAGACTTTTTCAGAAATACAAAAGCTGAAAAAAATTAATCAGCAGCTGCAGACCTGCATTACGAAAAAATGTTAAAGGAAGTCTTTTAGGCAGAAGAAAAATGATACCAAATATACAAAGAAATAAAGAAAGGATTAATGTGGGTAAATATTAAAAAGTTTATTTTCTTATGTTTAGAGTCTTTAAAACATAATTAAATATTTAAAGCAAAAATAATAGCAATGTGTTATGAGGCTTATAACACATGTAGAATTAAAATGTATGACAACAGTAGTACAAAGGTCAGGAGGAGGAAAGTGCAAGTGTTGTAAGTTTTTTATACTATCCATGAACCAGTATAATATAACTTGAAGGCATACTGTAACAAGTATGTATACTATAAACCTTAAAACAACCACTAAATAAAGAATTATAACTATAATCCAACAAAGAAAATAAAATAGAATAATAAAAATAGGCAATAAATCTAAAAGATGGTAGAAAAAGAGGAAAAGGAAGACAAAGAACAAATGGAACAAATAGAAACAGATAACAAAACAGCCAAACCATATTATTAATAACATTAAAAGTAAATGGTCTAAATATCCCCAATTAAATGACAAAAAATGTCAGACTGGATAAAGAAGCAAGACCTAACTATATACCTGTAAGAAATGCATTTTATATATAAAGACAAAAATAGGTTAAAAATAAAAGGATAGATACACCATGCTAACAATAACCACAGCAAAGAATATTACCAAGAATAAACAGGGATATTTCATAATAAGAAAGGAGTCAGTTTATCAAGAGGACATAATCCTGGGACTTCCCTGGTGGTCCAGTGGTAAAGAATCTGCCTTCCAATGCAGGGGAACCAGGTTCGATCCCTGGTCAGAGAAGTAAGATCCCACATGCCGTGGGGCAACTAGCCCGTGCACCACAACTGCTGAGCCCACGTGCCGCAAAAACTACAGAGCCCACATGCTCTGGAGCCCGCAACTAGAGAGAAGCCCACGCACCGCAACAAAGACCCGACGCAGCCAAAAGAAAAAGAAAATAATAATTTTTAAAGAGAGGACATAATCCTAAATGTATATGGACCTAATAACAGAGTCAAAATACATAAAGCAAAAGTTTA